TAAATTATGAAAGATAAGATGATTGAGATGATCCTAAATATTTCAGATTAGAGTTAAAAAAATTTAACTTATAAGTATTCAAAAATGAAAAGTATTTAGGTGCACCTAAAAAAAGCAATCACAGGACGTAGCATAAATAATTTATGTAGTTTCATTATAGATATGTTTTGTGATAAAAATTGTTTAAGATTTTTGCCCTATTGTTCAAGTAAACAGCTGAGTTTGAAAATTGAAATGAAATACATGAACAGTAAGAATAATTAATAAGTTCGAAAATAGGTACAACATTTACAGTTGAAATATCAATATTAAGTTTTATTGTGATAATAATGTTGTTCGACTAACACATTTATTCTTTAAACTAGATTGTATTTAATAATTATTTGCATTTTTTTCCACGTTTTATTCATTAAAAGTGATTAATTCTTACACAGTTGAAAATTCAAATGTAACGTATTCTTTAAAAAAAAAATTCCAATACAAATTTTACAATTTGTTTTCAACTTCAGAAATTCCATTTCCATCCATCTGTACACATGCCACATTTATATCAAAAATAATTTTTCCATTAAGTTTTGTTTTACTGATCAAAAAAAATTCCTATTGTCCATATTTTCTTGCTTCTCAATTACCTTCATTATTTTAAAGTTTTGATGTGAAAAAATTCAAAATTGATATACTTTTCTAACAGGTATTTTTGTAATGGAAATGTTTACATCCTGGCTTAAAGACTGAGAATTAATATTATTTGATTATGTTTTAGACTTAGGTCCGCCCCCCCCCCACAGCAAAAATTATAAATGCACTCAATCTTAGACTAAACACAATTTTTTGAAAAATATATTATATGAGACAAGAACACTGTGAAGAGATAATCGGGAATTTATAGTCATTCATTTTATTTTTAATTTATAATCATTCATTTTATTCTAATTTATAAAAATTTATAGATTTTAATTTAAATTATTTTTATATGAATTAGCAAAGAATTAATAATCGCGATGAAAAGGCGAAATTTAGAAAAGTACATTGTTACTGAGTAACAACATTGAATTCATCTATAGTAGAGTGCACTACCATTCTGAATGAAGGGCTACGTTCCAAGTATTTGAATAGATTAGATATAATTTTAATGTAAACATAAGTGTTTTACACACAGCTCTTTTCATCAGTCACTAAGTGATAAATTTCTATTAAATTAAANAAAAAATTCCAATACAAATTTTACAATTTGTTTTCAACTTCAGAAATTCCATTTCCATCCATCTGTACACATGCCACATTTATATCAAAAATAATTTTTCCATTAAGTTTTGTTTTACTGATCACAAAAAAAAATTCCTATTGTCCATATTTTCTTGCTTCTCAGTTACATTCATTATTTATGTGAAAAAATTCAAAATTGATATACTTTTCTAACAGGTATTTTTGTAATGGAAGTGTTTACATCCTGGCTTAATATTATTGATTATTAATATATTAAGAATTAATATTATTTGATTATGTTTCAGACTTAGGTGCGCCCCCCCCCACAGCAAAAATTATAAATGCACTCAATCTTAGACTAAACACAATTTTTTGAAAAATATATTATATGAGACAAGAACACTGTGAAGAGATAATCGGGAATTTATAGTCATTCATTTTATTTTTAATTTATAATCATTCATTTTATTCTAATTTATAAAAATTTATAGGTTTTAATTTAAATTATTTTTATATGAATTAGCAAAGAATTAATAATCGCGATGGAAAGGCGAAATTTAAAAAAGTACATTGTTACTGAGTAACAACATTGAATTCATCTATAGTAGAGTGAATGAAGGGCTACGTTCTAAGTATTTGAATAGATTAGATATAATTTTAATGTAAACATAAGTGTTTTATACACAGCTCTTTTCATCAGTCACTAAGTGATAAATTTCTATTACACTCATGTCCATAAATTAAGGATAATGAAGTTCAGGCACAGAAAGAGACAGAAATCAAACAAAGACTTAAAAAAGAATAACCCTATAGTATCTTTAACTTTCCCCAACTTGACAATAATTAGTAACAGGTGTGCCTCTCAAAATCCCCTAACGATGCCTTTTGTTCGCTATGAGTTTGGAGTGTAATCAAAGCATGACGTAGCAATGTGTCAGACCAATCAACAATTTGTAGTAGGCCGCCTGCGCGCGCAGGAAAGATTCCCCTTCCCCCCTCTTTTTTCTAGGAAGCGAGAACTGTACGTGAACACGCTGTTAGTCGTGAGCGGTGGACCCACCGGCGATTTCAGAGGCCGCCAAAACGTAAATTGCTTTAATTTTTTTTAAAATTCTTCCTTAATAATTGCCTAGGTAATTCAAAATTTTAATGATTAATAATGTTTTTCTAAATTTGATCTCACAAGTAATGGAAAACCCGATAGTTAATTAGTTTGTTTTTTTCCCCCACGTGCACATATTTATTTTTAATTCCCTCCACTCCAGGTATTATTAAATTATTTTTGCCTTATATATCTTTTGTATAATCATGTGTATCTTAATAATTTATCTGCTGATTTTATTTTGAAAAAGTAAATGATTAATGTAACGAAAGTCATATAAAGAAGTAGTGTTGAAAATCAACTCGGGGTATATTTTAATTGTAGCGTTGATGATTTTACATTGATTTTTAAAATGATTTATGATTACTAATTTAATTGTCTCCGAATCTGGTTCTAAAATGATATTTTATTCAAATAAACTTTAGTCAATTAATTTTTAAAAGATAATTAATTGCATAATAATTTAATTTAGCAAAAGTGTATTTTTCTCAAGAGCTTAAAATAAAATTTATTTTTGCACAACGCAATTTAAATAAGATATAATAATTAACAAAATTTAAGATTTAATAATGTTTTTAATGATAATGTTAGATTTAATAATGTTGAACAGCCGTCTCAATTTTGCATTTACGACTACTAATGTTCAACTCCGTAGCCTTTGTAATTTACCTATTAATTATAAAAAAAAAACTCCTGGATCAGTAACCCCAGAGGTATAATTTGTTTTGGGAACATGGATGACTTTGTGACTCGACATATTTAGCGTACGTACACGGGGAGTCTTCCGCCGGCAGGAACCCACGAACTCTTGGACATTGGTCCAGTGCCCTACCAACCAGGCTAACCCTGCTGCCTTCCCTACACTCACTTTTATTAACACAATATTCTTGATTAATTGGAACGGATAAAAAAAATACTTTGTCTAAAATGCATTTAAAGATTATTAGTTAAATTGTTTCTGCGTCAATTAGTCATAATGTAATTCAAGGTAGGGGTAAATCGTAGTTGCCGCAATTTTACTTCAAAAAAATTTTTTTTTTATAATCATTCGGGATAATCTGTCTCGTAATTTCTACATGCTTACTAATAAATCTTTTTTCTATTTAGAAAACTAGTGTATACTTGGTTTAGTGAAAAAGTTGTGTGGAAAATTTATCTGAAATTATATACGATGTATCGTCAGGCCATTCTGCAAATTCTCCCTAAATGGCATTTTTGGAACAACAGAGTAAGTAGATTTCTACTGTTAAGTAATTTAGGATCTTTGTACTAGTAAACCTAGTAACGATAAGGAAACTGCTCAAGATTGACCTAACTTAAAGAACAGAAAAGAGAGGGGGGGGGGAATTCCCGGCCCAACATAAAGGTGCTCTATCAACGCCTTCTATAACTGAAAGCCTCCACACGGTGTTTTCATCGTGTGATAAGAATCTATGAGGTAATTCCTTGAGGTTTAAATTAGTATGAAAATTCTAAGTAGAAAAATAGATGTTTGCTTGGCTGGGTGGACAGCATGATAGAGAAGTGAAGATCACTATGTCTTGTTTTCGGGAAGTAGAGATCGGAGCAGCTGAACTAGCTCCTCATTCTGTAGTAGTTCTTGCAGTTCTTAGAATATCTGCAGGAATCTGTTTGCTGTATCGGTAACACTCCTGTGCTGCCTCTGCTTCTGAGGTGGTTTTCTCCTTGGCCTGGCACTACAGCCTGAAAAACAGGCCGGATGTTCTCCATTACAGTTAATGCAGGTGGCCGGAAGACTTCTGGGTTTGGTGCATTGAAATGAGAAGTGAGCTCCAGCACGCTTCATGCATGCAGGATCGTTTTGACAGTTTTTTTGGGTATGGCCAAATTTTCGGCACCGGTCGCATTGCATTTAATAGCGACCTTCTCTAAATCGCTCAATCTGTACTGTAGTAGAGAAGATTTCCTTGATGTTTATGGATTCTCTATTCTCAGGATTATCTGTAAGTAGGATCAGGAAAAGGGGGAGGGGCTTATATCCTTCGCCACGCCTCTTCTTGTACTGATCAACTCTGACCGATGGCTGCTAGTTCCTCTTCCAAGATCGAAATCTTAGAATCTTCTGACAGTCTTTTTATGAGGAGTTTTCTGCAATTTTTTTTGTAGATTTTGTTTCTGTTCTGTGGTCTCATCTGTTGATGGGGCTACAGGTTCCGTGAAGTTGTTAGTAGATGGGATGTCCGTACTCTCTGTAGATTGAGAAGGAGGAATTTTCTTCTTCTTTGGGGGCTCGGATTCCGGTTGTTCCGTGGAATTCTCAGCACTAACATCAGGTGTGGGTGATGGCTCAGGCTGCTCTGATGTGGGTGAATGGTACTGTCTCTGTTTAAACAGTAGTCTTTTCAGGTTCAGGAGGCTCAGTGGTTGTATGAGTCTCTGCAGCAGGCACTTCCTCTATCATCTGAATGGCTGGAAGTGGAATATTCAGGGAGTCTTCTTCAACATCTCTTCTGCGATGAACTTTCTTTCATAAAGGCGTTCGAGGAGAAAGGTCGAGTACGATTCTTGGTGACCTTTGGCAATCTCTTTGTGAGCTCTCAATCTTTATCAAAAGTAGTCCCCATATGAAGACAGCAGGCATACAACCTCCTCTGATTTTCTCTAATCTTTGCGAAATCGAATTTAGTTTCCCGGTGGGTGCGGAAGGTCTTCCCTCCGCGGCCGAATCGGTGAGTAGACATGGCAGTGCAGAGCTTGGTTATAAAACAACCGTACTCAGCGAGATCCAATGTTCGAATGAATACAAACCAAGTAGAGAAAGAACCAATTAATATGAAATCTATTAAAAATTGGGTAGCAAATATATGTCTAAAAATTTGTTTAATTTATGAATATAATTGGTTTGTTTTATTTACTTGTCAACCGCTATAGATTCAGTTCTCAAATATATATAATAAATTTCTCTTAAGTATTTTTAAAATAGAATTTGGGTTCATGCGCACAAGTGGTTGGCTTTTTAAGTACTCTGCGCAGACTTCTTATAAGAAACCGTGTGGAGGCTCTATTCAGTGTTATAGTGTTTTCTTCAATGTAACGGCGCTTTCTGCATTGTAATGGCGTTTTATAAATGGAGTTAATATAATTGAACTTTGAAATATAATGGCGCATAAAGGAAGAATTCATACTCGTAATTCATAATTTAATTACTATAATAACGAAATATAAACATTTATAGACTTAAAATAAGGTTATACAAATCTTAACTTTTTCTGAAGGTGTAACTTTGGTTTAAATTTTACAGCTATTTTATTGCGATAAATCTTCCTCGGATAATTCAGGGCAAAAAATATCATTAAACTTTTCATTGACAAGTATTACCAGGTCTTACTTATAATTTTATTCTATATAGGTATGTTTTTCTCATGTTCAACGTAAGAACATTCAGAAGATCTTAGAAGTTATAAAGGAAAACAACAGAGCCCAAAAATTCTGCGGTATTCTCATAAAGGCTAAAGAAGTCACTCAAGAATCTGATTGTATCTCTCTTCACCCTCCCGTAGAAATTTCCCTGAATAAAGATGAGTTAGAAGTTCATTCAATTATCTGTGAGCTAAAAGAAATCATTCATAAAGATAAGCCTGAATATATTCTAATTGATACGATCTTAAAAGCGCTTGGAAATAGCTCTAATGAAACACGTCAGCAGCTTATTTCACTTCTTTTTAGTATTGATACAGTTAATTTCTTGAATCCCAAGAGCCAGAGTTCAAAAGAATACTTGAAATATTTCATAAGTGATGTTGAATGCTTTTTTAGAAATGCAAATGAGATAAATCCTGAGAGGATTTTAGATACCCAAGGAGCTTTAAAAATGGTTGAAAATAGATTATTTAATGATACATACCAAGATATGTCAAATGTTGTATATCCGTCTTCAATCTCTTATTTGTATTCAATAGTGCACAGCGTAATATTTGACGAAGGTAATCACTCTGNGCGAAATTGGTTGATTAGTTCTTGAGAAATTGAGTTTTATAAGTACGACTTTTTTAAAATTTAATTTCTCAGGATTAATCGATTTCGCTGAAATTTTGTATTTTGCCATGTGGAAAACTTACAATGTTTTGTTATCCAATTTATATGCGAACAAATAACTTGTTTTCATAAACATATTCGCTAACATAATACATAAATAGCGAAAATGACGATTAGAGATGGAGTACTGAAAGTTTTTGAAAGGACCTCCGCCAAAACTTTTTGCCCCAGGGCCCCGAGGGGTGAAGTTACGGCACTGCCCCTCGGTACATATTTTGCCTCTCTATACAGCATTTTAGTCTTTGTTCACCAGGAGTTGGCCTTCATTACGTGGTACGCGACGATACTATTTTGCTATTTTTGAGAGAAGGATGTGAACAATCCTGAAAAAAGTTGTTAATTTGGCGATCGTATGACAAAATATTTATTTCGCAATCCTTATGTACATTTTTTTAAACATTTCATAAATCTGATGATCTCTTTTGAGAGAATAGTTTGTCCTTTTTAAAACATTTTGCTGGGCACACAGCCGTTTTTAAATTTAAAATATATTTAATAAGATAGACGAAAGGTATAATAGCAGATGATAAAGCGAAGTAAGTGACTTAAAAAGAATTCACTGTTAGTGTTTGGCGTGCATTAACGGTTGTCTCAATTTTAAGCACGGGTATGTTTTTCCCTCTTACTCCCGCTGTGAAATGAACTCTTCGTCCGAGGGGATGATGGAGCAACAAGTGTCAACTCCTGGTGAACGAACTACACTTTATCTAACAAAACTAATACTAATATAAAATTAATAATTGGCTTGTCCCCCTAGACAAATCTTAAGACATTTGATTTGCTGGCTTTAGTAAACCAAATAATTCACACAGAGTAGGTGGCCCTTAAGCCTGCCAGCGAAAACATTGTACCACATAGTTATAATCAGTTTTGCAACTTAGTTCCAGATTGTAAAATAATTATTACAGCAATTTTTTCTATTAAGCTAACCATTAGTTGTCATTAAATAAAAGGTTTGGTTGATAAACAATTATCGAAAAAGTACTATTGAATTAATCATTTATCTTGAGGATAATTTACAATTTAATTGAGTTTTAATCAATGAAAATTATATCTTTCAACATTATTTTATCAAAAGTAAAATATTGAATTTATAGTCCGAGACGAAACAATAAATTTGTATTAAGGGAAGTACAATTACTATTGCATTACCTTTTTTTTTCCATTTGCAAAATTAACTCTCTTGATATACAGTTATTTTAAAGATGGCAACGACAACTGAAAAGCTTTCTTCTACAGTTTCGGTTCTTCCTTTTAAATAAAAAGAAATTAAAGCTGTAAAGCACAGGTATATTACTTTTTAGTATTAAAGAGTGTATTTTTCTCCACTAAAATCTGTTATCAATTTTTAAACTTCTGTAAAAATAAAGCAAAGCGGAGTTCCATGTTATCGTTTATTCAAAACCAAGAAGCGAAAGCTACAGAAAATGAAATTGTTGCGCTAATGGGATAATAAATTGAAATATCAATGCGAACCTCTGATTGGATGAAAACAAACTGAAATAGAGGGGGGGGGGGAGTTGAGAATCGAATCAATGATTCAATGTACTGTTTGCTTCTCTTAGCATTAATTGAATCATTAAGCCAAATGAATCGATTCTTTTGAGCTGTATCCTATCTCTTAACTTTAATATTGACTCAAAGAGTTAATTTTTGTGTCGATTTTTTATACTTTAACATGGCAGTATTTAAATGATTCTTTAAGCTGGTTGTTTGACTCATTTGAGCAATTTTATATCTTTTAACATTGAAAAAACTGTTTTGTGACGCGATTCTTTTCAGTATTATCTTATCCTCTAACACTAATGGGTTCTTATGGGGATTAAGAAGAGAGGCAAGTCATTTTTAGAAAAAAATTGTTGAATATTCAATTCACATCTTAATGTTTTCAATTATAAATATAAGTGTATAACCAGTAATTATGTTACACAGCAATTGATTGACAGTTACCAGTAATTATGTTTCAATATTTACTGGTCATTCCATGTCAGTTCATCCAGCCATGGCACCCACCGTCGCAGATTTTGATAAAAATTTGTACACTTATAGAGTTTTTTGTGCTGATTTCAAAAATATCAATTATATTTAAATCGGTTAATGGGTTTAAAAGTTATAAGAATTTATATTTTTGCCAAAATGGCTCATTTGCCGCCATTTTGATTCATACATCAAAGGGTATTAATGATTGTAACTGACCTTATATTTGTCATAGAACAATATATATTTTTTTTTCAAAATAAAGTAATCTGTCATACAAACACTTTTTTTTGCAAATAAGTATCTTACTTATTTAGTAAATGGGTCTGTTTTGCAGTTTTTTGATCAACGGAGTTGAGTAACTTCAGGAGATTATTTCTGGCAACTCGCCCCCTTCAATTTCAAAAATATTTTATTCAAAGATAGTTGAAAACAGGGGTGAAAGCGAGACGGAAAAGAGGAAAGGCTGGTAGTAAAACCATTTCAGTTATAGCTAGTTTTGGGGAGGAGTTTACTTATTCTTTTTTAAATTTTTCAACAATATCTGCTTTATCTTGGAAAAGAAGCAGTTTTATATATATGCCAGAATTATAAAAGAAATCTTGATTGTTACAGATATTTCATTTTTTTTCGAAAAAAATGCTGGAATGAAATGTTTTACGTACCAGGTTTTTCTCTTTTCCGTCTTGCTATATAAAGGCTTTCACCCATGGTTGAAAGTGCAAACTAACATTGGATATAAAAAATTTTATGGGCGATTCACTCACTTTTTAAAAAAAAATATTTTTCTTGGAAATTATTATGCATTAAAAGTACTGGCAGTTAGATAATTTATAGTCCTTATGTAACTAGGGTATAATAAAATTATATAAAAAAACGTGGATGATAGAAAAATATGTAAAATAAAGTAATCATTTATTAAATTATTTTTTCTTCTTCCTTTGAGCATACCCCCCCCCCCNTGTGTCAATAGTTTTCACTTATATAGGGTGACCTGGGATAATTCCTGATCAAAAAATGCAAACATCTATTTTGTGAAAAAACTATTCAAGATAGAATTTCAATATTTACTGGAAGTTTGAGACTATATGAGATGAGTCCTATGCTACCTTCTTTTGTTTGAAAATCTAATTAGAATTTAAAAGATTTTAAATTTTTAGTGATCAGGAATTGATCATTTCTGGGGTAATTCCTGATCACTTCTGGGGAAAATTACTGATCACCAGTTTTTATAGTAAAGGGGTTGTTTAAAAATAATTATACAATGGTAATTAACAAATAAGACATCAAGATCAAACAAATAAACCAAAGAGATGTTTAAGCAGCTAATAAAACGATTTATTTAAAAGCAAAGAAGGGAGACTTAGATTAACACTTTAAATTTTCCAAAAATCTTTGCATCGTGCCATACATTTTTGGCAGGGGTGAAAGCGAGACGGAAAAGAGGAAAGGCTGGTAGTAAAACCATTTCAGTTATAGCTAATTTTGGGGAGGAGTTTACTTATTCTTTTTTTAAATGTTTCAACAATATCTACTATATTTTGGAAAAGAAGCAGTTTTATATATATGCCAGAATTATAAAAGAAATCTTGATAGTTATATATACATTTCATTTTTTTTTTTTCGAAAAAAATGCTGGAATGAAATGTTTTACGTACNTATTTTGGAAAAGAAGCAGTTTTATATATATGCCAGAATTATAAAAGAAATCTTGATAGTTATAGATATTTCATTTTTTTTTTTTTTTCGAAAAAAATGCTGGAATGAAATGTTTTACGTACTAGGTTTTTCTCTTTTCCGTCTTGCTATATAAGGGCTTTCACCCATGATTTTAGGCAAGCAGCCAACTCATTCTCATGTTCTGTTGGATTATAAGAAAGAGTTCCCACATAAGTTACTTTTGCTGAATTTTTTAACTTCATTAAGTGAGAGTGTAAAGTTAAGTAAGGTATGTCAACAGCTCTGACAGCAGCTCTCACACTGAAATTTCATTTTCAATCATTAAAAGAAATTCTCTAATTTTGCTTTCTAGAAGCTTAGTATCTTTTTTAGTCTTATAATTTCTCACCATATTCATATTAGGCAAATTTATAAACTTAAAAATTATTCTAACAATGTACACACATAAAATTAAGATAGAAGCAAGGTAAGGCAAATCAGAACACATTTGTCTTGTATACAGTTGAAAACAAATTTTGTGATTGCCTTTGAAATATATTTTAATGGTTGTTCCACTTAATAAATATGAACTGCCATTTAAGAAAAGACAATTAGCTATTTTTAATACTATTCATAAAAAGAAAAGACAATGATTAGGAATTACCCCAGTGATCAATAGCTACCCCATGGGGGCAACATTTGATATAGTTTCCTGTAATTAATTATAATGCTTACAGTAGATGTGAAACAATTAAACAAAAGCTTACACTATTTTTATATCAAAGAAAAAGAAAGTAACTCAAAATATTTATTATTAAGAGAAGGAGGGGATCTTTGCAGAAATGTGCACATTTTGAAACCCATCTTTAAAATGGAAAATACAGAAAGCAGTTTAAAAGAAACTTATTTTGTTAGATTAAACAAAAAACTATAATTAAGTAAATGTAGTTATACTTTAGTAAAATGTACAAGCATTCTTGTCTATGTCTCAAATTTAAAAAAAAAAAATTTAAAATAAAACTTAGGTGATCATTATTTACCCCAGAAACAGAGTGATCGTGAATTTCCCCGGGTCACCCTATATATTTCATACTGATACAATACATACTCCTTATGTATGAGGCATATAGTTGAACTTTCTTTAAAATCTAAATTGCTCCTAAATGAAATAAGTTCTATATTCTCTGAAGAAAGTTCTAAAATCTTCTATGAGTTTAAACTGCACTTAAAATCTTTCAAAGTTACATACCAGCCAACTTTTACGCATTTGGCGTAAAATTTTATTTCTGT